GTGGGCCGTGGGCTCATCAATCTCAACTACTTACTGTCAGAGGCTTTTGACTCTTGGTCCTGAGGAACTCTTAGGGCGTACAAGCATGTGTAACGACCTGACCCAAACATATTGCAATTGCTCTGAGCAACCTTTGAGGCAATGGGCCGAAGGACTTGCACCAAAAAGACTAGGAGCAAGAACGCTACGAACGGGGCTCCTGGCCTTTGCACCACTGTTTTGATGTCAAAACCCACGGTCTTTGATCCGGTCTGCCCTGTCCGCTTGAAAAATGTCTGCAGAACACAGGTCCTGCAGTGAAAAACACAGCGCCCGGTGCCGCGAAGCTGCTCTAGCGTTGCAGCTCAAAAACATGACTGGCACAGTAAGTGAAGAGTCGGCCTCAGCGTTGACAGTGTCATCTGTGCTTTTTCCGGCCACAGATGTCCAATTCCACTTGCACGTGGATCCAAAAGGGGGTCTGATGTTTCCTTTGGGTGATTTGTTTTGCGAAGAGTGTTGGTTGATTTAACTGATTTCCAAGCATGTGCGAGTGTTGATGAGACGAAATGGTGTGATTCTTCTGCGCTCAAAGCAGCCAACCGCCCGCCGAGGTGCGATCATGCGCCTCCAAAGCACTCTCGGTGTCCGTGCCGAAGCGTTGCATCATCGTCAAGGCCTACCGGCTGGGGAGAAGGGGGCGTGGAGTTTGCTTGAGGGGATGGCTCATTTGACAAACTTTTCCAGATAGTGGGCTCCCAATTCACGAAGCAGTTCGTCGACTTTGATTGGGAAATGTCCATGCTTTGCGAACGAAACACCTTAAGACGCAAACATTCAGATCCACTGGTTGAACTGCTTGACACTTTCCCACCATGAATGTATGCCGTCATTGACTCTTCATTCCTTGGCACCTGTGATCCTCTCCGGCCTGATCCAAGGCCCCGAAGATGTCCACTTTGGCCACTGTCTTCATCCACTCCGCGGCCAATCTTCGGACCGTGTCCATGTCGTGCAAAGCCTGGCGATGCCATCCCAAAAACCCCCAATAGGTTCGTGAAAATGGATATGATGAAACATGGCAAAGTCAGGGGAACTTGCACTGAACTTGGCAAATCCAGAATCAAGATAGCAACAAACACCAGAACCACGAAGCATCCAAACTCCAGTCCGACTCTGCCAACACGCCGGTCACCTGCACGTAGCGTGCTCCATACACTTCGCTATGTACCTCCCAAGCAAAAAGGCACGACGAGACCGAAAGGGTGCTAAATCGCTACTCTCGGATGGGCTGTGTCAAGGGTGCTTGAAACAGGTGAGGCTTTACAATAGCGGCATCGACGGATCCTGAGCGATCTTCTTTACACGGATGGATTGAAAAGTACATCCCCAAAACAAGACTTCGGAAAATGCCTACCTGGAGAATTCCATGCTCTTTACGAGTCAGAACATTGAACTCGGTTGCAAATGATTCGTTACCATAGAATTGCTGATACCATGACTCAGTCGCGTAAGGTCGTCAGATGATTGGAGCTGAACATGGTGCTGAACGGCCAGCAACCCCTGGCCAGTGAGGCACGTGTTTGAAGTTATGCTTGGCAAAGGCGGCCACATACCTTAGCTGCATGTCGGATGTTGGCGCGAGACCTTTGTCATTCTTTTGGTACAGTGGTACGGTTTCAGGAATGCCTCAAAGGAATAGATCTCTGAACATCAATGGATCTTGAGTGTAGGACTTGCAGCAAGTGTCAGTTCTTTTGTCATGGTACTTTTCAGAGGCATCCCACTAATTTGAGGATATGCCACCTGACCAAATCCTTGGTTTTGCTGCATGCCGGTGCTCATGAGATCCATTTGTACAGACAAGATATCCAATGAAACGTCCAGGAGGTTCACCCTCTAAGCAAAGATCCCCCAACAATGTCCATTGAGCCAGTCATCCTGACATGAGCCAAAAAAGCAAACAATCATGGTTGATATGTCAGTGTCAGCAAAGTCTGCCGAAAGGTCTATATCAACAGGTGTATACCAACACTTTTAGGCCTTTGGACTCATCCAGCACCTGATGAGTTCGCATCCTCAAAGGTCTTAATAGCAATGGTCTCCAACCTAAGAACGCAGACCATATTACACTTTTCTGCCTCTTCTAATGGCAATGGCATCCACCCAAATAGCGATGGCCTCCAACCTAATTTCACACTAAGGCACTCCTTCTCTGAGTAGCAGTAGCGCCCTGCCGCCCCCAAGCGTCGTGCGCCGCTCCACAGTCGCCGATGCTCAGGGTCCTGTGCGGCTTGTGATGTGGTCGTGATGGATGTGGACCTGGGGGAGATCATAAACCCTAGAAATATCATGAAATATCTACAAGAATCCTCTCAGGTCCGTTTCTTTATACAGTAACCCCCTTCTTTCTTCCTGCTTTATGTGAAGAAGTTGAACTGAATGTGAGATGGACACTAAATAAATGGCATCATATATGATCAAATGGACACACAATGAAGAAGTACTGCTGCTAGAAACCACTCATGGAATCTTTCAAGAAGGGCTTTGACCCATGGTGGTTAGGGCTTTGACCCATTGTGCTTAGGGTTAGGGTACCTTCTTTCAAGAAGGGTTTATATAGTGCAACTTACGATTGTGTCAGATGGAACACCTCACTTCTTAGGTGTTCCAGCAATCACATCAACCGGTCGCGGTGATTTGGTGCGGCATGAACGACCGTGCAAACGCGCGGTTTCCTTCTTAAAACGACTGAGCCGAATGAGTGTCAGGCTCAATCACTCTTGTTGCGGTGCTCCAGCGTCCTGCAAGTTCAAGCCCTTCTCATCCTTGGTGGAGTTCTAAAGCGCAAGGAAAGTTCCATCTGAAAAGGTGAGAGTGTCCTTCCCCCAAGAAAACGGATGTGCCAGTGCGGAAAGAGAGAGATAACTTTTTTAATTTTTTTGGCCAGTCATAGAGATGTACAACTAATCTCATTGGCACATAAACCTCAACATGGGAGGTCATTCATCAGCGTCACGAGGAAATTGTGGTACAATTAGACTGATTGCTTTGGACGGAGAAAATTTATGGCACCACTTGGGATTTCCCTAGTGGTAAATCCTGAGATGAACGACTGAAACCAACTGCCGACTGGTGCATCGACTTGCCAAGGAACATCAAAATTCGTCCAGTCACAGGCAACCACGAAGCGAGATCCTGCCGTGGGAGCCCAACAAGAAACCATGAAACATCTCAATTATCAATCGATCATATCTACACAGACTATCTGCATCCATACCATGTAGTCCCAGTCATAATGAAGGGCTGACATAATCCAACCATCATCAATCATCACCAGTGCTGTCCATCCTCTGGTCATTCATGTTCAAACCTCACCTGGTTGCCTTGAAATGTGCTCCCACATATATAGTTTTGTCAGTTAGTTGGGCACTTGAGAAATGCCTTCCAAACCGTGAAGCCATTGCTGATGTAATAATACACTTGGCACTTTGTTCTGTTGAATCCTGGAAAATTTCCGTTTTATCATCAACGGCTTGATCATCAACCCCACGACTCTGCACGAGATTCACCGGATACACCACGCGCCTGGTGTCAGGATCCGGGCCATTTCCTGCGCATGTTCCTCCAGGTCGCGCTGGAAGGTCACAGCGCCCAAGTTATAAGCGCCATCCACCTGGCATCGTTTCCTTTGCGAAACCTAACAAGGGTCAAGAAGATCTTGGACATGGACTGTTGAACTTTTGTATCGTGGCTAGTTAAACCACCTGACAAAAATGGTTTTGACATCTTTAGAAACATCTCACCAATGTAAGATTGGCGGCGGGGAAATGGATGAAACGGCTCGTGGGGTCCCGTAACATATGCCGTATCACGTGGGTGAGCAATTCCAGTTTGGGACCTTTGTGTGGTCAGAATCAAGCCAGTGGTAGTTCCCGAAGATCGGATGCGACTGTTCCTGGGTGTGCAGAAGAGGGGATGCCAAATCAGCGAACAATTCACTGTTGACAATCATTGCCGGAGAGATCACCTCTGAAACTGAAGTTTTGCGTGGTCTAATTGGGACATCCCACCACAGTCGCACGGTTGCTGGCTGATTTCCCACTGATCACTGCCCAGGACCTTCATATCCCTGTCATGATGGCTATGCTGACCAGAGGGTAGAAGTCAACAAACTCACTTGCAAATCAATGTCCAGCTCTGCTGACACAGCTCTGCTGGCATAAATCCAGGCCAGATCGGCCGACGCGTTGGCGATCCAATCGTAAGGCATGTGGTTCATGTCCCTCATCCTCACCTGGCGCGGCCGGGTTGGTTGGTCGGCGGCTGTGTGGTCGGGTTGCGGCGGTGCGGTTGGTGCGGCCAACCACAACGGCGCAACCGGCGGACCAACGCCGAAACGGGCAAATGGGGGGGCAGGGAACCATCCAAGTTCTTACCCCATTTCAGTTACCCTTGATTGCACTTGCTTCCAATATACCGGCACTAAATGTTCACTGGCATCAACTTCTGCAGCTGTGAGAGGTGGAGATTTTTGATCGTCATCTTCAACCACAGTCCCACAGGAAAAGAGAGGCTCGTTCCAAAGCTGTGCTTCCGGAGCTATGTCAGCGTACTCAGCTGACTCCGTCAGCTTACCTCTCTGATCTTGAGAAAAAAGTAAGGCTCTCTCCCATCTCTCTCTCTCTCTCTCTGGGCGCCGCCTCCACTGGCCTCTCTTTGGCGTGTCGCAATTGGTTTCCATCCAAATTCATTCCTGGTCCGGGAAAGAAACGTCAAAACCCATCAGGTCAAGTAGATGTGTAGCACTGCAATCATGGTGTGAACCACCTGGATGGTAAAACCGACCATAGCCCAAAGTCCGGGCCCATAAGACCAACCTGACGAGTCCACACCTAGAGTCGATCACAGCAAACCAAGTGATGTTGATGGAAAACTTGCTGAAAAACCGCATCCACTGCAAATATGATGAACATACTGGTGATGATTGCGATAATGATGAGGATGACACATGAGAAACCGGTTGATACTGATGCTGCTGTTTGTGGGTGCGGCTGGTTAGCAGCTTGAACACATCCCAACGTTTGATTCACCGAAAAGTTTGAGTAGGCCACAATGGGGCGTGCGTGCATTCTTTTGAAAGACTCCAAACTAGCCATGTGCGAATGGAAAGGATGGAGGCCATCACAATCAGGTTGGAGGCCATCGCTACGTCTGACCCAGACCCAAGCCCTCAGCACTCCGAGCGTCCCATGAGCTCCCAATCTGCTCCGAGGAAACGACCCAACTCCTGTGACAGACCAAGTGGCTGGGTTCGTTGCAGAAAAGCACCCAAACAACAAGCACGAACCTGAAAGTACTCACCCAAATGTATTTCTATCCTTTAGGAGGGAGGCTAACAAGTAGCCAGTAGTGTAGCCAGTAGGAAGGGGTAACTGCAAAGCTGCAAAGCTTAAGGAGCTACTAAGAGCGATGGAGCGATGGCCTCCACCTAATAGTAATGGCCTCCAACCTAAGCTTAAACAACTACTACCGATCGGACGCAGAAAGGCTCAGCCTTAATGATTGTTAGGGAAACTTGACTTACTGCAATTTAAACGTTGTATAGTGTTCAGTCCATTCTGTCAACATCACAGATCCTTCAATCCATCCTTTAGTCTTGGCCAATGTATATACAAGAAGTATTGACACCAGTCAGCGGACGACGTCATTGGTTGACACTGTCTCACTTTCAGGTAGACACAGACAGCTGTCATTTCAAAGGATTCGACCCAAATAAAGAATGGAATTCCATCCTCATCCTCCTCCTATTCTTCGGTCCGTGAGGTATCCTTTGTTGTCCTCTCGCACCCACCAACCCCTCCATCCGCCGGCCGATCCATCCTGCAGAATCCGTCCCTGACCGCAGCCCACCTCCTAGGTGGAGGATGCCCTCCCCAGAGGTAGGGGCTTCATGACCATGTCGGTGTTAAAAACGCCTCTGGTTCTGTCAGTTTTTCATCTTGGGGCATCTGGGGCGAGTCCTGAGAATTCCACCAATGGAACCTTGGAAAGTGACCCGAACAGTCAGAAAGGTATAGAAAACATGATGAAAGCATCTGTCTATGTGGCTGGTCAAGGTGTAGGAACAAACCGCTTCTTGGGGATAATTCCCTTGATCTGCTATGTCTGCCCTGAAATAAGTGAAACAAAACCGACCTCGGCCAAACACAATTGCTTTGTCCATAAGAATTCAGAATGCCGGTATCATTGTGTATCATCCCCCACATGACTAGAGAATGTGGGTCAAGGAGCATGATTGGAACTACGCATGGACTTCCAGGAACATCTCAAGAACAAAACAAACCTAAGAACACAGCAAACCTCCTACTAAACGCTACTAGGGGCTCCTGGCCATACTACTAGTAACAAGAATCTACTAGGGGCTCCTGGCATCGCTACTAGGAGCAAGGACGCTACTAGGAGCAAGAAACAAAGACTCTCCGAGTCATCCCTCCTGACTCGGCCTGCCAAGTTACCAAGACTCGTTTGGTCCTCACAGTGAGACCAAAGCGAGAACATGGGGAAAACACCGAGGTCCAATGGAAAGCTCCGTGAAAAGCAGCAAACGTTTGCATTTTTTCCGAATGTGTCCAAAATGCTTTCATTTCTGAAGTCATTTTTAAAGCAGAGACTTTGATCCCGGTGGGTTTAAAAATTCAATACAAACATCTGGGTGGTCTTATCGGGAATGGGAAGTCCTTGGTCCTTGAACACCAAAGTGTGTCTTATCAGTTGCGCTCAACACCTTTTGCTCCAAGGTGAAAAAGGTATCATACCCGAGTTTCACTCCGCAGCTTTGATCCCGCTCAATCTGGTTACCTTTCATCGCTATTTAGGTTGGAGGCCATCGCTAGTAGACAAAATGAAAAAGAAGAGGAAGAAAGCTGTAGAGACGGTGTTTGGTATACTATAGTACATACTATAGTAAAGAGAAACGCTAGTACTATAGTTTGCTATACAGCTTTGTTCATTTCCCAAGTCGATGGACCTGTCTTCAGCATCGTTCGTCTGCACCAGATCGAGCTGAGATTTGGATCACACGAGGCACACAAAGGTCCTTTGAAACGTCAAACGGACCTGGTGGACTCGAAACTGAAGTACGAGTTCGACGCGTTTCCTGCTTGAAAGTCTGCTTGAATTCAAAATCCATCAACCAACTTGTAACATTGTAAGAAGCTACTAGGTTGGAGGCCATCGCTACAATGTAGTTCATTCCTTTTCTTTTGGAGTTGAGTTCCTCCTTCTTCCACCTTCTAGTTGATCCGACCACCCCAGCCTGCCTCCTCTCCAACCTCCTGCGTCCGGTCCAAGCATCTTTTTCGGCACCACGGCATCCGCGGCACGCCGGGCGCCGCCGTTAAACGGTTGGTCGTCCCAGTCGCCCTTCAGCCAGCGCGCCAGCTGGTACTCGTAAATCACCTGGCTGCTTCGGGCCAGAAAGGACAGGTCCAAAGGCCGAAGCCTAAGGTACTTATTAGAATTATAATTCTACTAGCTTCTTGTTACTACTAGTAAGGCACTTGTTACTAGAAGCGATGCACTTGTTCCTGGTAGCGAACATTGTTACTATTGCGAAAAACATGCTCTGCTTGGAATTGGACACTGAATGACCAGAATGATCCAGCTGCCGTGGTACTCTTGCATGCTCACTCTGCATGCATTCTTCGACCCACAGCACAGGGACCTGGTTCTCTTCGTTGCCCTTCATGGTGTTGAACAGCGGGGCCACATACATCTTCCTGGGACATGGTGCAGGGCTCAAGTGAGTTGCTACGTATTGCAAACCGGTGAAATGGACCTCTCCACTTCCAGTGAACATCCGTATGCAGGAATTCGCAACTCGGTTGCCCTAGAAGTTCCGCGGCCTGGTAGCAGTCATAACCACTATGAACCGAAATGCAGAGGCGACATCCAAGGTCTCGTTATATACCCATGTTTTCTTCGATACATCACCTGACACTCGTCAAGGCCTGAAATAGGGGGGGTCACCGCCTCTCCGCAGAAGACTTTGTTGGCCTCTCCGCCCCGCCGCTAGTGACCACCAAACATCATGCACTTTCTTTCAGGTCAGAGATTTCCTGCCCAAGCGTCTCCACAGGGACTCACTTGCCTTTTTTCTTGGAAGAAGTGCTGCAACTCCACCGTGATAACTCAAGGAACCACCTGGTTTACTCTGCACGTGCTCATCCACCAGTTGGTCGCATCAAGGCGCTGACAGGAGACCAGGGCGCAGTAGTATTGGATCACCTGGTGCGCTGCTGCGCTTCGACCGGAGCCACAGGTTGTCGATGCTGGCGACATGTTGCGATGGGTGTTTGATGAACTTGAGAGACATGTTGTCACAAACGTAAGTAACTCTTTTAGGCGCATGCACACATTTTTTGGATTGGTATAAGAGGAACTGGAACCCAATGAATTTGGAGGTTGACTTAGTTGCAGTGCTGTTGATGTGTTGGGAGAATTTGCTGACGCCCTTGCAAATGATACAGCATCAAACTGGTCAGTGAATCCACCCCCGTCCAACACACTTGTGAATGAACCAAGTCTGTCAGGCCTCCGACCGGCGACTCCTATCTAGTGAGCTTTCCAAAATGACTCTTTCCTCATGTCTAGGAAACCCATGAAACGATGAACTCATCTTCCAAATGATCTTGCCTGCGACACACGTCATTGCGTGTACCTGATAGCTGTGTATGACAGTTCCACCCCTTCCTTTCTTGCTATCAAATCCATTCTCATAAGAAATGTACTATTTAGATGGGCTTGGGTCAGAATTCTAGGGTTCTGATGCGAGTTCCAGACATGGACGGAGAAAAACCATGGACAAACATCTACAATTCAACTCTTTAGGATCCTTTTGGAACAACCCAACACTAGGAACAAGAAGCTACTAGGTGCAGGCCATCGCTATTCGGTTGGAGGCCATTACTACTAGTAACAAGAATCTAAGTTACTAGTAGCAAAGGGAATCGCTACTAGTAGCAATGACGCTACTAGTAGCTCCTGGCCGTGCTACTAGGAACAAGAAGCTACTAGGATTTGTCTTCTACATTTTGGGAAGGATCCTCTTGAAAGGATTTTGTCCAATGGTCCATGTCGCCGGACCGTGAGCCGCTGACAGTATTGGTTCAAATTTTCTGGATAGAGGACCTACCCGTTGACTGGCAAAAGTGGTGAAGGAATTGGCAATTACATAAGTCATCGGCAAAAGTGGTGATGTGTCACCCGCACAACCGCTGCCATGGCACTGTGTAGGTGTGCTTGTGCTTCCGCATTTCCACATTTCTCCAATCCTGGAGTGGTCTTCGCACGGGCTCACTACAGAAGAAGGGAAGAGAAGATGCACCTCAAAAAAACACAAGTCACCAGTCTTCTGGAATAGACGGACGTGACCAACATATTCCTTCTTTGGCCATTGCCATCCCTGGAGTCAAACCAACTACAATGAGGGCTGTTCCTTATCCAGACAATGAGCGAAGGCACAGAAAGCAACGAGTGCTTTACCCAGCAGTGGTTACATTGGCAAACAAATACACCAGCTTGTTGGGAGTAGTTCGAAATTCAAGGGGATATTCTTCCACAAAGAACACCAAACAACAAGGCATGTTGAATCGTGTGTAGCTATGACCATTTTTTAATCGACAGGTTGACTGCTAGCAATGACCGAGGTTTGAGCTCTTGCCAAATAAAAAAAGGGCGACAAGCTAGAGTCATTCTGTGCACAAGGCCCAACATGACGAGTTTTGCCTTTTTCTCCTGCAGGATTGATTGATCATCGACGGTCATCTCATCTTTCCTTGATCCCTTTTCTGTATTCCAACTGCCATTTTGGTATTGAATCCGAAAGGAGCTGCCATTCAGGTCGCCGGCCGATCCTTCTTATGTGTGGACAAAGCTGTCAACATGGTCAACACGCAGCCGCGACCCGATGCGATGCGAATTCCACTCCTCGCCATAGGCATCTTCCAGCTCCTTGTCGCTGGCATAGTCGTACACGTCATAGCTCTGCAGGAACTCTTCGTAGGCCCTGGAAACTCGCGCAGGGGCACCCGGCAGGGGCACCGGTCGTGTCGTGTCGAGTCGAGAAGACCGATGGATCTGAGGGATTCATCACTCTATCGCCGCACTCGTTTTGGTCATTTGTTGCTGGGGAATTCACTTGCATCAAGCCATTGGGTTGTGAGTTCATTGACCTTGAGCGCATCCACTCCCAGTGAATTTTCATTCACTTCTTGCTACGTTTGTAGCGGAATACACTTGTTACTCAAAGAGTTCATTTGTGGTGACTTTGCGCATGAGTGTGTTGTAATTCCTCGCATTTTGCCCCAAAGCCTAGGCCAAATGTTGCAGGGTATTCAGCGTACACCCTAAACCGCAATAGCAAGAACAGCAGAACGACTGGAGAACATGACCTTTTAACTACGAATGGACTTGTGCTTAACTGTGAAACGCGCCTGGTGACCGGGTGACATCCTTTGAAACGCACCTTTTTACCACCGAAACCATCCTTTGGGTCTGAACGAAGAAGGCGAAGCTACTTCTACTTAGCAAACCAAGAACATCCCTAAACGTTTCGCCTTCGGGAACATCCCTTCTGGAACCTCAACGAACCACTGGTCGGAACCGGCGAACATCCCCACGAACCGCTTGTCGTGGGCATTTCGGGGCACGGTTTTCATCCACCGGGTTCGTCCAGCAGTCTGAGACATCATGGCCATGTGGAAAGGATCGTCCTCTTCCAAGCCGCTAGGTTGCTTCTAGGTTGTAGGCCATCGCTTCTAGTAACAAGAAGCTACTAGTAGCAAAGGGCATCGCTACTAGTAGCAAGGACGCTACTAGTAGCTCCTGGCCGTACTACTAGGAACAAGAAGCTACCAGGATTTGTCTTCTACATTCGGAACCTCAAAAACCGCTTTAACGTCTGTCGTGGCTCGGACATGTGAGGATGCTGGTTCAGCAGCGCACCCGTTTGGTTCCGTTCCGTTTGGTTCGCAGCCTGTGCCTTGGTCCGCCTTCCCACCCGTTTTGGCCGAGCCGCTGCTGCGGGAGCGTCAGGATGTTGTACAAGGCGAAGCCCTTCCTGCGAAGGCTAGACGAGTAGTTGGGCGCTAAGGACCCAATCCATCGGATGGCTTCGTTTGCTTGAGCCGTGGCAGGTTTAGTACAACAGAACCCAACATTTGATGAATGGGGGGGCATGGATCACTGCAAAAAGTTTTGCTGTCAAGAACTGGTTGATTCAAGTCAAATAAAACTAGAAGGAGAAGACGGAATATCGTGAGGCTCTCAAAAGCTTGAAAGCGATAGGGCTGAAAGATAGCCGCATCAGCCAAACCAGCCGGAGCCAATGAAAGCACCCATTGAGTTGGTTTGAATCCAGGGGCCCCTTCGAGTCTTGCTTCTGCCGACGATTCAGGCTGGGTTGAAGTTCATCAAACCAACACATGCGTGGAAGACCACCACCCCACCCTCCTCATATCATCCATGGATTTAAAGCTCGATCTCCAATTCAGTACGTACTTGTTTTATCTTTATGTCTTGAGGAATAACATATCCAAAGTTGACGTCTCAAATAAGTGGAGGTTCTATTTGGAGCGGAAACTGCTTGATCAACCAGCGCAAGCTTGCCAAGATTCTCATACACATCTTCCACGTCCAGGAAAAGGCCCTTGGCACTGTGAAACAGCAACATCTTTCCAATCCAAAGAATGGTTGTGCTGGATTTTCATGCTTTTTCAGATTCTCTGAAAACCTTGTGGTTTTGGTGGACTGTCTGATGCAAGATGTGTTCTGTGTCGGATGCTCCGGAAACAGAGGAAGAGTGCTCAATCAATGCCAAAATTCAAAAGAAATAATATCAGGTGTCAAATTGACAACTTGACCTCGAAAGGAATAAAAACAATCATCCATCGAAAGAAAGCCGGTAAACTTGACCTAGAGTAGCTTCTGGGCTTTGTGTAAATTTGGAGCAAGCATCCGGTCCGGTGCAACATTTTACAATTCTCAATCTCAAATGATACTTCGCTCGCACATGCACGTTCCATACCATTGTGGTACAAAGACTATAATCCATCTCACAACACATGATGTACATTTTGGTTTGTGGAGGTAAATAGATGCATATGTATATACATAGAAGGGAAAACAAACATCATAATATCTACCGCAAACCATCTACATAAGACATATGCATGTACCCCAAAACATATCATGTACATGTGACTCATGTGACATGTCCTACAATCATGCAAAAACATCTGATGGAACAAACACACATCCCCTTTTTCGTACCATTTTTCGGCCACGGGGCGGCGAGCCGGGCGGACAGTGCCAGCAGGAGCACTGGCAAGGCGCAGCAGAAGAGACCGCAGCCTCGCGAGATCGAGGCATCCGGGCGGGCGTGTTGAGGCCATCGCTGCAGTGCAAACGTTGCAGGATCCTCCGGCAGCTTCACTTCCGGCCATGGGATGACTTAAACAGCGCCTATTGAGATGCGAATAGATGATCCTGCGTCTATTGACCAGCAAACTGCGGTATGGACACGCTTTGTCGGTTCACTTTGACGTGCGCACATCTATCGTGAATAGTTGATGGTAAATCGATGATACATCATAGCCTGGGAACAGGAAGGCTCGATGGGGTTCAGATCAACTTAAACCCATTCTAAATACCGCGACTGGTTGGTGGCTGAGCCACCCATCACCCCAGAAATGCTTGAGGATAGTCAACAGGGATGGAACATCAAACCCTCTTTCATAGGACCAGTGGATCTTGAAGGGCTTGTTTCTGTGCCCCAGTCTGTTCGGGACCCTTCTCTGTTTCTGACATCCTTGCAGTACACTCAGTACACCTTGAGGGCTGCATGCAGCCCCAGAAAGGAACTGTTCATCAAATCCCTGTCATACTTCAATCCAAAGGGACTCTGGCTGCTCGGTTGCAGTCGGATTCCAGGTGACAAGGCCATAGAACATCATGAACACTTTCACGTCCAGGCCCGCAACATCCAGTTGTCCCTGGTCCGATCCGTACGTCGGTCGACCTCGCCAGATCCTCGATTCGATTCCGATTCGCTTCGATTCCGGCCTGAACGGCGTGGCTGCGGTACCAAGGGCTTGTCGGACTGCGACATGGCCGGACTGAGAGGTGTGGCTTGGAGAGGCAAAATCCCGGCTTGGGATCCGTAGGACATCGTCGCTTTGAAATGTCTGGTCTATCGTTCTAGCCAAGATCTTTTGCGTGAACACGATTCAAATCTAACTTTTTTTGCATCCACTCATCAAACACCTCACGCAAAGCCAGTACCATCTGTGTGCACGTCTTCAACGCTTACCTGGAACAGTGACCGACTCAGTGCAAAAAATGCACCTTTAGGTGTTCTTAACTGAATATCATGAGCCTTCACGCCACTTTCAGTCTCCACATGGTTTGTGGTGTTCGGTGATGTCTATCCATGCAGCTTTTGAGCCACCGATCACGGAGGGGCAAATCAAAAGAATCAATTCTTGATAACCCCAACATCGGTTTTTGAGACATCTCTTGATGTTCTTCTTGGAGAGGAACCTCTGCTCTTTTCCGTATCTGGACGGTTCATTCGGGCAGTCATGGCCGCCCCGTCACGCCGGCCGTAGGGGGGTGTAACTCCTCGGTTGGTCCCCGGAAGCCAAGGGATTGCAAAAGGTGGAGCTCAGCCGTGGTTGCTGTATTGAAAAGGCACTCCGTGCATTCAAACATCGGGTTTTCACAAATCCGAGATCGTAAATGCACATTTCATATATGAATAGATTTGTAACCATCTCTGACACTGCAGAAACAACCACAACGATGAAAAACACCACTATGCTTTTTATATGAATATTATATATGCCTTATTCTTTTGTCCTGCCCAATGGTAGATTTCATGTGAACCAAACCTTTGGGCAAGCGTGTCTGCATTCCCTTGCCTTAAGCTCTTGAGGGATTGGTCGCGGCACGCGATCAAATATCTTCCAGCCACCAAATCTATTCTTGTTACTAGTAGCGATGGCCTCCAACCGACTTGCGATGGGCTCCAACCCAATAGCATCCTATATACAACATTCTTCCAGCCACTAAATCTATGTTCTCTCAATTAAAGTCAGCCATCAAGCAAGGCCGTGTCACTCTTTGCTTCGGCCTTGCTGATGCCACGGACTTCCCTGGCGCCAAGTCACGGTGCGGCATCGCTTTTTCTTCCATTCGTTCCTGAAGCCTTTCTACTTTGACCAAAACGAAGTGCTATAGTATTCGTTGATGCGGGGCACCAGTTTTCATTGCGATACAAGAATTTCGAAGATTTGCTGAAGCAGTAAAGCATCTATAAAAATGAAAAAAGGAGGATATGGTTTTCATCCGCCCAGAACAAGCAAGGGAACCACGCCCTGAAAGAATTTTTGCCATTCGGGCCAAAAAAGCCATGTGTGAAAGCGCTAAAATGGTTTCTTCACTTGCAAAGGATGTTCCAAAATAACTTGTGACATGACACTGATGACACCCTGCGATGCTTGGTGCCTGCGGGTCCAGCAATCACCACAGCAAGGAACGTCAGCAGCAGGAAGCCACCCGCCAGGGTCACAAACAAGGCCTGGAAAAGGCTGCATTCGGTGAGAGGTGAGGGCGATCAGGTGACTTCTTCGCTTCAAAAACAGGTTGGGAACACTAAGAGTGAACACAGAGTGTCACTTTCATGTTGTGAATTCAACAGTCAACAGTCCGTTAGCTTTTTGGTCACCCGTCACTAGAGTCGACTTCTCCCGTGCCTCTGTGAAAGGGAAGGTGGTGAGAATCAAGGCCATGTTGCAAGCCTCGTGTCAGCTGTGGAGTCTGCTCCGTAGAGGCTCCCTACGAAAGCGAGAAACTCAGGTTTCTCTTAGAGAGCCGCCGCGGGCAAGACAAAACATCATCTACCGCTCATTCTGTTGAAGAACACCACCAACCACCACCCAAACAAACCTCTCCAAATACAAAAAACATCATGATCCTGACCTGGGATCTCCTCAATAGCAGGATTCCAAGACTTGGATTTTCTTCACCTCGGCCGAGTGGAAAGCCAGGCTCGAGCGCTCGAGTCCGGGTGGCTGCGAAGCTGGTCACGCGGCCGTGAAAAGCGGAGCTTCCCCGTCTGACAGAGCGGGCGGGCTGAGCGGTGTCCCCGACACCATTCGAACGGGGACGTGAGGTGAAGTCAACGTTAGGTTGGGGGGCAGGGGCAGGGGCCGTCAGTGGGTTCAAATCAGCTTGCCGGCTTTAAACGATTCTGACCCATCTTCCTGCAAACAGGTCGTTAAACAGAAACATCAGCGGAAACATCCTCCAATTCCGAATCCGGAAGACACCTCACGAAAGAAAGAAACATGTCCGAAGTCCAGCGCCTGCAATCCCATGAACTTGCTCCAGCCCTGAAAAGCCTTGGCAAGAGTTGTCCACTTGGCATATCTTGACATGGTCATCAGTTGCCGTGTTAAGCATCGCCATGACATGCTGAAGCTTTTCGTTTTCAGGCTTGACCCCCACAACCAAAGGCAGAATGGTCAGCAACCACTGCAAAACAACCTGGTCACCCTGTTGCCATCAGTTTCCTCTTTTTGCCACATCTCTTCCGAAGCTCAGCTTGTGAGCTCTAGGAACCACAGATTGGCTTGAAAATCCTTGGGCGAGGATTGGTTCGAAAGATAGCGATGATACTCCTCAAGTGTCCAATTGGCCCGCCGAAGGGCATCTCTTGTTCGAGTTTTGCATGCTCTTGTTCGATGTACCAAGTTGACAATGTGCTGTGGCAACAGGTTGCAGCCAGCACATTGGGCGGCCTGGTCGCTACAAATGGTGAGGTTTTGCAAATGGCTGAGGTCTGCAAATAGCTTTATAAAGACTTCTGACGGCAGTTCACCAAAAGAGTTAAAACCGAGCTCTAATCTCTCCAAGTTCTTGAGATGCGCAAACACTTCAACACGCACTTCGCGAAGCGAGTTGTACTGCAAATCGAGAGTCTTCAAATTGGCGAGGCTTGCGAACAAGGCTTCAAGAACTTCAGTAGACACTTCACCAAGGGCATTGCCCTTCAGGCTGAGATTCTGCAAATTGCCGAGGCCTGCGAACAAGTTTGCAGGGACTTCAGGGTGCAGCTGACCGAGAAAGTTGAAACCCAAATCCAGTGTCTTTACATTATGGTTGAGGCTAGCAAAGACATTTGCAAGCCCTTCAGCAGGCATTGTGCCAAGAAAGT